CTCCTCCCGCGCTGCCCCCGCCGCGGGCCCCGGGCCCTGCACAGCGCGGGGCGAAGGGGCGGTGGGACGTGCCGCCAGTGTCCGGACAGAGGACTGGCCATCCGGGAAGCAGGAGGCAGAGACGGGTATTTAGCACGGCCATGAGCGGGAAGTGCGGTGTCCGCTGCCGCCAGCGGCACTTAACTGGCTTCAGGGAGCGGGGCATTATCCTGGTCACTGGGGATTTCACTGTGGGAAGGGGGGAAAGGACAGCGACACATGGGGTGAGGAGGAAAAAAAACCAACAGATATAGACGAACCCCAACGTCTGCGATAGCAGAGGTCTGAGTCCAAGCGTCCTTGTGGCAGGGCCAGCTTGGGTGAAGGTCCATGGCTGTTCCCAGCATCTGATGGATTCAGATCCTGCAGGGCATGTGGCAAGTAGGTGACAAAGGGAAGAGGGAGGGAAGAGATGCTCAGCCCTTAGGCTGATTGCAGAAGTCAATACTGGCAATGGCCTGGCAATTGTATCTTCCCTGACATCAGTGATGTCTTCCCTAGCATCCTTCTCCTCTTAGGCCAACGTTACAGTGCTATTTTATAGGTGGATCTTGAGGCACATTAGTCAGACATACTTTGTTATGATGGGAGTAAAATTGTCTCGGTTGACTTTTAAAGGTATAGACTAGAGAAAATTCAGAGCGCATACTCGGGTGTGGTCATCCCCTGAAAGGTGGGTAGCTTTTGGAATGGAGGTGGGGTTTAGTATTAAAATCAGATTATAATGAGCAAAGTTCACTAACGGACAATTGTTTGTCAAAAAAGTGACAGATGTTTGGCCAAATTCATCAAATATGCCTCTTGTCAGTTCTAGGGGACCTTCAGATCCCCATGTTAATAGACCAGCCATGATGTAACCAAATGTGCAGATTATCAGTTCCACAGAACCTTCAGGTCCCCGTGTTTATTGCTGAACCTGGCTGTGGTGTTTCCACTTGTCACAGTTTGACTCAGGTCCGACAACAATGCTCTCGATCCCCTCCCCCCCCAACCCAGGTAGGGAAGGAGAGAGAGAAAAAGAGAGAGACTTGGCTGGACTGAAAACTAAACTACACAGCTTTAATTAAAACACTAATGAATGATACAAGAAAATATATACAATTATATACAGATAGATTCAGGTATGGGCAAAAGCCTCTCGCCTCCCCCCACCCCAGCAACTCCCACAGCACTTCCCTGAACTGGGAAGAGTCCCGAGGAATCCCGGAGCTGCTGCTGGAGAAAGCAGAGAGTTATGGGGGTCACGAGAGATCAAGCCTGAGGATCGACGGTGATGGATGAACAGAGTCCTCCCTGGACGCCGGCCATGGACGGAAGAGAAGGAAAGAAGAAGAAGGAAGGAAGTTGTCTTCTGTGATCTCTGACCCTCCTCTGAGCTTACGTAGATATATGGAATGGAATATCTTTGGCCAATTTTGCTGTCTGTCTAACTCAGCCTCCTATGGGGGGGTCACAGATCTCCCCATAGTGTATGAGCTGGCAGAGTGCAGGTGCAGCCTTGAAGCCTCAGTAGTTAGAAAAACATTCCACTGTCTTATCAGCCTAGCAGAACACACTGTTGCTAGCTACAAGAAAGCTTACTGAAGGAAAAAAAAATCAGTAAAAAGAAAAATTGGCTTCATCCTGGCTCAAACCAGGACACCACTCCATTCCACCTTCTGTGTGGTGTCCTTAGTCAGCACACCAAGCTTCCCTGGTGTTGCCAACAGCTAGAGTTGCCTGAGAATTTATCATGATACAGACTTTTTGCACGTTAGATGCATTCCACTCAAGGTTCTGTTAATTTTGCCCCTTTCCTCAAAGGTGAATATATGTTTGATTTCTAAATCATTCTGTCATGGCTTAATGCTGGGTCAGCAATTAAATGCATAGTATAAGGATGTTTTCTCACATCCAAGCAGTGTCCATGGTTCTGCATACAGTTCTCTAGCCATAACTGCAAAACATTGAGCATTATCAGTCCTAGAAGCAGAGACTAACTGAAAAGATGCTGTTAACTTCAGCAAGTGCTACTTAGAAGAGACTTAACTGAAATGTGAAATCACTAGAAAGAAAATGGGTTCTATCCTGGCTCAAACCAGGACACACTTCCAGCAACATCCTACACATGTGTAGGAGATTGTGATTTTACCAGTACTGGAATAGCTTTTAGGCCAAGCAGAGGCACTTGGCTTGTGTGGATACTTCTACTGTCATCAACATATTAGGCCCCACTCAAATATGTGTTTTTAGAAGAAGCCCATGCACAGCACACGTGTGTGACAGTGTGACCTTACCAGAGCAGAAGTAGGAGGGTGTGAGGTCACCATCAGCATAACCAGTGAGCACACCGTGGTGTCAGTAGGAGGGTGTGAGGTCACATCACTGATGGCCCCCATGGGCATGGGGCTTGGTGCAGAGCAGACGTGCATCTGAGGGGCACGGCGAGGGCTGAGATCTACCCAGCTCCATGTCTGGACATCGAAGGAGCAGTCCCCGCAGCCCTGGCTGGAGCAGTCAGGTGCGGGTTGCTCAGGGGCACTGCAGGGATGTGTCTGGGCTCAGCACTGAGAGGAAACCACATGCTTCCTGCCTGGATGCTGCAGGGGGAGCACGGCGAGTGCTGTGAGGCCACGTTGACTGTGGTTTATGCACCTGCAGGTTCAAGCTCCCGATCCACCCACAGGGAGTAACAGCCTCTGGGTGAAAGGCCAGGGACACCTCTGAGCTGCTGGGCTATGTGTCTGCTGCTAGGGCAAGAGCATGTCCCAGCTCTGGCTCCTGTGGGGCTCTCCAGGGAGGGATGGATGAGCCAGCACTCCTGGAATGGAGCTCTTGGCTTGGCCAAGGACCTTTCCCAGCTGCTGCTCCCACCACAGCAGGGTCTGTATCAGGGGCAAAGGCTGTTCCCTTCCTATCCTGACACAGTCCCCAGTGAAGTCCCAGCTCCACAGTTCCCATGGCTCTGGGGCAGCTGGACGTTCAACTTCGGTACTTGGGTTAGCCCCGTGTAAGAGGTGCTCAGTGGCCCAAATACTCACAGGAGAGGTTGAGGGGTGAAAGACCCATTGCTCCTCCACAGCCATCTTGTCCCATGACAAATCCCCACTGCAGCCACTATGACACCCGTAGGAGGACATATGTGTCCCTCATATATGGTCATGAACAACACTGAAGAAGTGAATTGGAGGGCTGAGCTGTATCAGAGAGGAGATTGCTCCCAATAACATCTCATAAGGTGCTGCTACTTTGATTGGCTCTTGCTGGAGCTGGTTGGTATCTGCAGAGATATAGCACCCTCCCATCTTTGCTGTCCCCCTGAGTCCCTAGGAGCTGTAGAAGAGAGTGGGGTGCAGCAGGGCAGGAGGGGTGGAGGGACTTCAGGCTCCTCAGGTGCTGTGGCTACTCCTCTGGGTGCAGCTGTGTGGGGGTAAGTGCTGGCTCCCTTTTCTCACAGTGCAAAGCCAGTGGGTACTGGCAGGATGCCAGGGATCCCTTTGGCAATGAGGTTTCCTTCCTGGTGACACTGGGACAAGAGTCAGAAGGTGCTTAAGTCCATGTTCCTTTTCCTCTGCCTATATGAGTGGGAGAGACTATCTCCACTTTCAAGGCTCCGGTGTTAGGGCACACTTTGCCTGGCTGGATTTATGGACATCCCCCTTTCTGTGGTACCCTTTTGGGATCCCCTGTACCCTCATGCTGTGCCTCTGGAGCTGATGGTAGCCCAGCTGGTGACAGTGATACTTAGTGATCCCCGGGGAACAGCCCATCTCCAGGATGGCTGGGAAATGTGCTGTTTATTGTCCTCAGGTTTTGGAGGACTGTGACCTCAGGAGAGCACCCCCCACAGACAGGGGGGGTCTGCATGCACAGGCCCCAGCACTGACAACAGTGGAGAAGGGCGACATGGGTTCTGGGATACTCAGGATTGTCTCAGTGCTCCCTGGGGACATGGAAAGTCCAGGGGTCATGGTGTGTTTGGGTGGTGCCAGGGCAAGTGGTGTGCAGGGGGAGCTGCTGGCCTGGAGCATGAGGCAGTTCAGGGGTGCTGGGTTGGGGAGGACCAGGTGCCCTGCACAGGGGTGGGGGCTTGGGTAGGGGATCTTTGTAGTGAGAGGAGTTGCCAAAGCCTATGAGGCAGTGAATGGCCCGGTGTCCCTGGAGTTAGCATGTCCAGCCTGCACAGCCCATAGGGAGAGCCTGGAGGAGAGAGGGCTTCTATCCTGGTGGTTGTGACTTGATCTGAGCAGGAAGGGACCCAAGAACTTGGTGCTCTCCTGACTGATCCCATGTTGGTGTTTGAAGGGGACACAAAAGTGAGGCTGGTGAATGGTGGCAGACACTGTGCTGGGAGAGTGGAGGTGAAACACCAAGGCCAGTGGGGGACTGTGGTTTCTCCTGGGACATGGTTGATGGCAAAGTGGTTTGTAAGCAGCTGGGCTGTGGGTCTGCTGTTGAAATTCCTCAGTTTGGACAGGTTGTGCCAGGATCTGGCCCCATTTTGATGGGTAATGTTGACTGTGATAGCACCGAGTCTGACCTGTCTGCACACATGGAAGATGGGGTCAACAAGAATGTGATCACAGGTTTGATTCTGGAGTGACGTGTTCAGGTGAGGGGTCAGCCTGTTCCCCTCTTTGGGGCCAGGATGCAGGGAAAGAACTGGCTGCGCCCTCACCGAGCAGTGAACAGACACCAGAGTAAGTCCCAGTGTGGCCAGTGATGCTGCTGAGCTGGGACATACGCTGGTGATATCCCGTCTCTGAGGAAAGCCTAGTGGGAGCCCACCCAGGGTGCCTTCACTCTTTCTGGTCCCTAAGGTGGCTCTGCCCACCACAGTCCATGCCAGGGGCTCACATGAAACCCCCTCCCTGCCCCACAGTGTCTGTTCGTTCCTGTCTTGCACTTTCCATTCACCCAGGACTTGTGTGGCAGCACTGTGACCCAAGTCCCCCTGTGCCACAGGCACCAAGAGCAGCTCATGTGGCCACGCACAACCCTGGGAAAAGTGATGTTGCAAGCCAGTATTGGGGGGCTTACGTGGGGAAGAAAAGAGCAGTTTCCCACAAGTGCCTAAGATGGCCTGGGAATTTTGGGTTGTGCCCCCTTGCAGAAACAAGTTCCATGGCCAAAGTGACTGCTCAGAGGGAAGGTCGCTGGCCTTGGGCAGAGGAGCAGGGCACCTCGTTCCTCTCCCAGGGTCACCCCATGAGAACGAGCCCATGGAGATATTGCCTGGCAGGCAGTGCCAACGTATGGCCCAGCCTTTCCCAGCCACCGTATGCCACAGGAGCTCCGCCAGCACTTGCGCTGTCCTTGGTGGCTGCCCTTGCCCCAGGATCTTGTGTCAGCCCAGGGCTGCTCTTCTGCCTGCTCTGCTGCCTGCTGCCTGGCACTGGCCAGAGATGTGCCCACCCAACAGCATACTCTGGCCCTGGCTGAGGACCCCCTCCTGTGGCAGGTGCTGGAGCTAAGGGCAGGGACAGCCTCACCAAGCCTTTGCCCTGGGACATGTCCCATCTAAGAGGAGTGCACCAATGGTCCCTGGCCCCTGGTAGTGGGGTGCATTTCTGGTAGCTCCAAGGGGTTCCTCAGCTGGGCCCTGAGCTCAGTGGGCAGGTCAGGCTGCAGCAGCCAACAGTGCCTCAGCCCATCTCCTCGGGTTGAAGTGCTCTGGGTGCTGCAGGGCCTGGGGCCAGTGTCAGGCAGCCATAGGTCTCTGGGAAGGCAGCAGCAATGTTTCTGGTGCCTACAGCTGGGGGTTTTGGTGAGAAGTCAAGCCCATGACTGCTGTGCCAATGTCTGAGAAGTGGCAGGAGGGGTCTGGAATGTTTGTGCCATCAGGACCCACTGGGAGCTGCTGGGGTGCTTGTAGCTTGTGCTATGGCAATGAGGTGGGATGTGGGTGTGTCACTGCCAAAGGACTCTAGGAATTCAAAGGGGTCTTTGGTTGCTCCAGGATTTGTCCAGCTGGTTGGAGGGGACAGCCCCTGCTCAGGACGTGTGGAGATCCATGATGGGAACCAGTGGCGATCTCTCTGTGACTCAGACTTTGATCCCAAAGCTGCCAGCGTGGTCCACAGGGAGCTGCAGTGTGGTGCAGCCCTGTCTGTGCCCAGGGCATCTCACTTTGGAGAAGGTGTCGGTCCCATGTGGGGCAGAGAGCTGCAGTGTGTGGGGAACGAATCCCTTCTTGCCTCCTGCCCCAGGGGATCCTCCAGGGACCAGCCCTGCACCCACAGGAATGCTGCTGGTGTCACCTGTACATGTAAGGACTGATGTTGGGGTGTCAGACACAAAGGGTCCTGCTGGGGGCAGGGAAGCAGGGCAGGGATGGTTCTGTGCCAGGTATGAAGACAGGAGGGGTGATATGGTTGTCTGCAGCCCTGCAGTCACTCAGAAGGACATAGGCAGGTCTTCCTCCAGTTGGTCTCTCCTCCAGCTGCTGAGGGAGCGAGCACACAAATTCACCCTCTCTCACCCTCTCTCTGTCCCTGAGCACACAGGGTTCAGGCTGGTGAACGGCAGCACAGCATGTGAGGGGAGGGTGGAGCTCCAGGTGCTGGGGACCTGGGGCATCCTCTGTAGCTCCTGCTGGCACCTCTGGGATGCTCACGTTCTCTGTCATCACCTGAACTGTGGCTTTGCTGAGTCCATTCCTGGAGGAGGACATTTTGGGAGAGGAACTGGTCCCATCTGGAGAGACTCATTCCACTGTGATGGGACTGAGGCCCACCTGGGACAGTGCCCAGTGACTGCCCTGGGGGCCTCGCCATGCTCCCGTGAGAACAATGCTGCTGTCATTTGCTCAGATGAGTGCTGGGACAAAATGGATTAGCTCCATTCTCCTCTTGCCTGCAAGATGGCAACCCAAAGCAGGGGACCCCGTTGAATGCCAGGCTTCACCAGGAGTGAGCTGGAGGGCTTCCCCAGCTCAGACCAACTGCTCTGCTGTTGGAGAGCAGAGGACTGAATAGGGGCAAGTGTCTGCTTCCCAGGGTGGCAGCTCAGCTGCTGGTCAGCCAGAGCCAGGCTCCTTTGCTCTGCCACTAGAAGATGAGCCAGGCACAGAGCTGCGGGGCTGGTCTCCATCCCTCTGGCTGCAGACAGTCCTGTCCCAGTCCTCCAGTGCCTGTTTTCACCCCCGCAGGGGCTCCCTGGGGGCCCCCAGCAGGAGCAGCAGACCAGGGGAGTGAACTACACAGCAGCTTTGCTCTGACTTCTGATCAGCTCAAGTTCCAAACTTGTCCTCCATGGTCTAAAAGCCCCCCACAGCTCTTCTCCTTGCCAGGGACACCAGCTCCTAGTCCTCCATCCCCAGTGATGCAGGTGGGCAGAGATGTGTGGGCTGTGCCCAGTGTCTCAGCAGGGCCAGTGCCAGTGCTGAGGCTGGACAAGGCCTATCCTGGCACTTCCCATCCCCCAGCCACTGCTGGCTGCTGCTGCCTCCTGCAGGAGCTGCCTTGACAGCCTTGGCAGGGATGGGCTCTGTGGCTCTGCCCTGGCAAGGGCAAAGCTAGCATCTCACTGGAGAAGGCTCTGGGCCTGGGAAACCAGCCACAGGGAGCCTTGGCACAGGGCTGGGGGCAGGCAAGCGGGCTCCAAGGAGACATGCTGCAAGCTGCTGGGTTGCCCAGTGCTGTCAAGGGCTGGACTCCTCTCCCTAAGCCCAGATGAGTCGGCATCCCTGCAGCTGGTGGATGGAGGGAGACGATGCAATGGGCAATTGGAGATCTTCCAATGTGGGACATGGGCCAGAGTTCTGGATGACCAGTGGGACATGCAGGAGGCCCACGTGGTGTGCCAATAGCTGCAGTGCAGAGAGGCAGAAAAAGCCTACAACCCCCTGAAACCTCAGAGAGGGACGGCTCCCATGGGGCTGCGAGGGGTTTGGTGCATGGGGCATGAGTCCAACCTGACCCTCTGCAACACCTCCCTGCCAGAGAGTGCCCTGGGGGCAAGGATTGCAGAAGACGTGGGGGTCGTTTGCTGGGGTGAGGGTCACTTCATGGCTCCCCCAGGCTCTGGGCTGGCTGGGCACAGCCCCTGATGGCAGCCGGGGCTTCTCCCCGCTGCAGGGAGCCGGCAGGTCCGGCTGGTGAGCGGCCCTGGGCGCTGCGCCGGGAGAGTGGAGATCTACTACCAGGGCAGCTGGGGAACTGTCTGCGATGACGGCTGGGACCTGCCTGACGCGGCCGTCGTTTGCCACCAGCTGGGCTGCGGGGAGGCCCTGGAGGCCCGTGGCTCTGCCGGGTTTGGGGCAGGCTCTGGGCAGG